CTAAAATAATTATCTTGCATAAAAAAAATATATAATTCCATAAAAAAAATGGAAGATTGATCATAAAAAAATTTCGACAGTGACTCCATCTGTGAATAAATCAATATTATAATTATGTGACTCCCTCGAAATTTTATAATTTTTATTTGAAATGTTTTTCTATATCTTCCATGTCTTCTGAGATATTTCAATAAAAGTTAAAATGGAACAGCTTGAGCCTATAACATAATTTAATATTAACTTTTTATATAATAAATATTAAAATAAAATAATAATTTAATTTTCATTAATTATAAAAAAATTTTACATAACTCTTAAATATATAAATAAAATATATAAATATCAAAAATCTTAAAATTTGATATTTTTTATTTTTAAGTGCAATGAAATATATTATGCAGCGTACAGTAACGAATGGTATTCTCTGGATCCAAAAATTGCAAAAGATTTGCTGCCCCTATTGATAAGGGGTACTAAACCAGTCTACCTTACTGCTGGAAAAATATTTCCCATGACAATGACCACATTTTGTGGCGTAAGATAATAATTATTGTACTTTAAAATATATCATTATTACTATAATTTCAGTAAAATTTTATACAATTATTTACAAGATGTCTCATATTTACGATGACGCACTCTTGTAGACAGATAAAACATTATATTTAATAGATATGTTTTCTGCTATGTTTATCTGTGAATTTTTATAAGTGACTTTATTTTATTTTTAATTATTGCGAAAAAATTTCAAATAGTAGAAAACTTTTCTATTGAATATAATTTCTATATGCCTACAAAAGTGCATTACTAATTATGGGCCTTCCTTTATTTCATATAATTTTATGTATTTCAATTTGTTGTATTTATGTCTAATTTTAAGCATGGCGATTACGCATTTATAAATATTATTGTATTATAAAAGATATATTTTTTAGTTAATAAAAACATCAGCTGGTTACATATCCGTCTTACATACAACAAGAAGTTGATAAGAAAAGTGAAAAAATCTATATATTTTTTAATATTAATTTTTAATAAAATAGTAGTAGTTCAAGAATTGTACACAAATATTTACACATCATTTGCAAATAAATTATAAATGTTACTGTACAAATTGATTGAAATATATATAATGCAAATTTTTAAAAATTAAAAATAAAAATAAAAATCAAGTTTGAGTTTGAATTAGAATTTAAAATTTATTATTCTTAGAATTAAAAAAATCAAATTATTAAAATTTTTTAAAATTATATATACATATATATATATATATATATATAAAATACTAAATTTAAATAAACTTGTATGCTTAAATATATACGCAAATAAATGTATCTATTATTTTTTACATTTACAATTAATACATATTAATAATATGCACGATCAAATTTTTGTTCAAATTTAGAATTTATACTCATCTTGAAAAATGAAGACCGATATAATAAAAGATTCTATACATCATTTTATTAAGTTTAGTAACATTATGAGCAATATCTACGTATGTATGTATGCGATGTAAAGACGTGAGAATACAACAGATGTCCATACGAACATTCTTTTTATTGAAAAGATATCAACCTATTATTACGAAATAAAAAGTGCTTTGCATGATGTTCGATTAAATAACGAAAATTTGAAACAACTGTATAAAATATTCAAAAGACTTGTGCAAGTTGATCCTTCGACATATTAGAGAAACACTATTGAAAGCATATGCGAAAAATATTTTTATTGTCTAGAAGGTAACGACAATGCATTAAAAGAGAACATCAGTCTTTCAATTATATTAGAAATGAACAGTGCGAAATATACTGCATACCAAGGTGCTTATCATTGTGATAAAATTAAAAAAGAAATAACATTGTTTAAAAATATGTATATGTAATGTTTAATAATATTATGATAATATTAATTTTTAATCTCTCACATTTTATCATTAATAAAAGTATTGCATTTTAGTTTTATATTGACAATTAATGTATTAAAATATAAAATATTATAAAATATTATAATAAACATTATATCATTAGCAGCACTTGACGGAGAATAAAACATTTTTATTCTCCGTTATTCATTATTTTCCAAACAACTTTTGAATTTATATAATTATAGAAAATTAATTTTATTTTCAAATATTCTAAAATACATTCTAATAAATAATATGCTTAACATTTTGAATGGTTAGCTTATGTATGCTTATACATACATGCTATTTTTCGTGGGCTATATATATTGACATTTCTGCAGGTAGATTTCGAATGGGCGGTAAAACTAAATCGTATTACATTAGATTTTATTGGACTTTGGCCTAATACCGTACAAAGTTCTCAAGAGAAATTAATGTGCAATTTTCGAGTGTTTATTGTTTTCTTGACAATAACACTTGGCATTTTAATTCCTTGTATACATTCTTTTATAAGAATTTATGGAGACATTATGCTAATGATAGATAATTTACAATTTACTTTACCAGCTGTAAGTTGTATAATAAAAATTATAATTTTTTGGTGGAGAAAAGAAGGTAAACATAATTTTTTATAAAGTTGTAAAATGTAGTAAATATCAGAGATATAATCTAAAAAAGATACATAAAATAAACTTATGATAAAATTATAATATTTTATTGAACTTGAAAAGTTAATTTATACATTAATTTATATATTAATAAGTTAATTTATATAGAAATATAATTATCTTGCGCACGGAGACATACATATATCATACACATGTGTATATCCACGATATAATTTATTTATGTAAACGGCACAAACTTCATAGATTATAAATTTTCAATTATCAGAGTTCAAAAATTTTACATCATAAAGTTTTGTTCTTTCTATTATTTTCGTACTATAATTTTTAAGAAAATAATAATTATTTCTGTTTACTACGTTTATTAAATTTTTCAATGTTTAGAGTAAACTTGATAAAATTTTTACTTCAATTTAACAATATTATGTGTTGCATATATATTAAAATATATTCAATTTTGAAGTTATTATACCAATCATAAATATGATCGCGGAGGATTGGATAATATCAAAAAATATGGAAGAAAGGAATGTAATGATCAGAAGAGCGCAGAGTGCACGCTTAATTATTATATGTGCATATTGCCTGGATGCAGTAGGATGTTTTTTTCTCATTATTCTACCTCGATTTGGAATATCTATACGGTTAACTTCCAATATTACTGATCCAGGCAGACTAATGCCTTTACAAACCCACTATATTTACGATATAACAAAACGATTGCAGTACGAAGTAACATTCATTAGTCAATCGATTTACATTTTTCTCGCCGTCATATCTTATACTGGAATCGATAATTTTCTCGGACTACTAGTTTTTCATATATCTGGTCAATTGGACATTCTCAAGAATCGTTTGACACGTTTGGATAAATATATTAATTCTCATGACATATTAAAGAATTGCATTGTTCGACACATTCGTTTATTTAGGTTTGTTATTAACAAAAAATCTATATAAAGACTACATATATAATTTATACACTCAGAGAAAGAAGTCATATCAACAATTAAAAATTTGAACACAAAAATGAAAAATAGCGCCTCAATTATGTATAAAAAAGATATAATAAGAACAATCATCAAATTATATAAGTCAAGAAAATATGGTAATATTAATCATTTGTAGTAATTGTTATATAAACTAATATATTGTTGTCAGTATATATTTTCTAAGCTTATGTTAATGAATAATATTGTGACATTATGCTTGCTTCACAAAAATATTTGTTTGAACTCGAAAAATGTAATGTCATATTTTGTTTGTATGAAGTCATACAACTATGTTATTATTATTATTTTAATTTAGTTAGATCAAAATTATATTTTAGTGATAAAGTATGAATTGAATTTTCTAGAAAATATAGAGTGTTAGATTTAATTTTTAATGAAATTAATATTTTAAATAATTTTTATTTTAAGATTTATGTATTTATGTATTTATTATGTATTTATTAGTTATTTTATTGCTTTCCTAGTTTTAATATTTATTTTAATTTAAATTTAAATAGCTTATAATTTGTAATTATAATTAAATCGCTATTTCACTATCAATTAACAATTCACATATATTTTTACCATGTCTATATTTTTATTATATTTAATATTACTTTCGTACTTATTATTTTGAAAAATTAGTTGCAGTATTTAAATTTCATAATTGTTACAAATAGTTGCCAGAACTATTTTTCTCTCAGTGTATAATACACAATTTGTATTGTATTTAAATGTATTGTATCTAATACACGAAATATTTTACAGGACCATTGCTGTTATTGAAGATACATATAATATCATTCTTCTCTCATTATTTATATATTTTGCGATACTTTTTGCTTTTTACGGTTTTCGTATAATTAACGTAAGTGTTAAAAGTATGCATAGATTATATAACATTAGTTTACATATTTACATATTTATATATTTCCATAATGTTCTGTTATAAACATATCAAACAGTTTTAATTATAAAAAATTGCATCTTTTAACTTTATATTACTTAGCTATTCGATGAGGAAAATAATTTGTCACTTACTCGATTAATGTTCTGCATATCTACAATTTTTAATTTATTTGGACAGATGTGTCTATATTGTGCTCTCGGTGAATTTTTGATGGCCCAAGTAAGTTATATTTTTCTTTCGTACAATAAATATAAATTACTTGTATTACTATTGTTTCTTTAATTTTATATTATTATATATTTTAAATTACTATAATTTACTTAACTAATATTATAACTATATTACTATAATATTTAACTAATAGTAATAATTATATGTAATAATAACTAACTATTACACATATTCTTTCTTAAGTAAATTATACATATAATTCACTTAAGAAAGATGTTATTAATATATAATAAATTTTACTATTTGCAAAATACATATAATGTAATACAATATTAATGATTAATGATAAATATTAATAATTAATTATAATGTAAAAATATGTTAGGAATAATTAAATTTAACTTATGTTTCATTAAATATCACAAATATTAGACGTCTGTTTTTAGAAAACAAAAATTAGAAGTTTATTATTTATTACATTCATAATTGACATACAAATACATTATCTTTAATTTAAATGAAAGCATTTAAATAAAAGAATTTAGACTATAATCAATATTTATTTTATTATATAATATATTTACATAAATATATTAATATATTTATATATATTATAATTAAAATTTTTTAATATTTTTCAGTATAACAACGTATATTATGCAGCTTACAATAATAAATGGTATGCCATGAATAAAAAAACTGTACAAAACTTGTTATTCCTGCAGATAAGAGGCAATAAACCAGTTTATCTCACTGCTGGAAAAATGTTCCCCATGACGTTGACCACATTTTGCGGTGTAAGATATTTTAATGTTTAATTATAATTATTATATGAATAGCATTTGAATGTTTATTACAATTTTAGTATTTTTCATGTTACCCTTAACATTATAATTTTAATAATTTATTATATAATTTAGTAATTTATAGATGTTTTATATTATACCTATTTATTCATGCATATCAATATCTTTTATATATTGTGTATGTTGTACAATTTTGCAATTTTATAATTACATATGTATCATGATTATATTATTAATAACATCGATATTAAAAATTTTTTTTATAGTTAATTAAAACTTCACTTGGATATATATCCGTTTTGCATACGATGAAACGTTATTAGAATAATATGATAAATCTATTTTCTGATGTTATAGTATTTTTTATATATAGAATGCAATAATTAAGAAATTATGCAAATATTGTATTAAAACGTTTTGGGAAATATCTTAAATTTTATTATATCAGACTTTTAACTTTAATATTATAAATTAATTTTCCTATATATTATTGTAATAATCTTCCAGCAAAGCAATAAAGAATGTTCAAATATATTTACAATGTTCACGGTAGTTAATATGGAAATTAAAATAATCACATATACATTAATCTCTCAGAAATAATATATTTATTAACTTATGCGTAAATATATACACGAATAGAACTTATTACTATAATATTTCTTATATTTTTAATTGTTACATTAAAATATTTACAATTTTCAAATTTCAAATTTTATGAATATATCTATCTTTTTAAAAATGAAGATCGCGAATAATGGAAGACAGATACTGTACATACTGTCTTATTACATTTAGAACATGATAAGTAGTAGCTTCGTATACATGTGTAAAAACGTGAGAATGCAACAGATGTGCATGAGTATTGTTTTCACCGAAGAAATACCAACCTATTATTACGAAATAAAAAGTATTTTGCGTGATGTTCGATTAAATGAAACCTTAACGAAAATTTGAAACAAGTGTATAAAATATTCAAAAGACTCGTGAGACTCGTTCAATAAGTTGATCGTCCGTTATATTCGAGCAACAA